GATCCACATCCGTTCGATGGCCTTGATGTACTCCTCTGAAGCTTCGGAGCGAAGGAGGTATGCTGCAGTGTATCTTGTGGCCACATCGACCATGGACATGATGGCATACTTGATGGAGCCGAGCTTGATCCAGAGCACATCCGCTTGTACTGCATCGTTGAACTGGTCAGAGGTGGGCATAGATGCAGGCGCGGCTTGAGCTGGCTTCTTGTACTTGGCGCATGCCAAACATGTGTACCCTCTTGCGGCCTCAACGATTCCTTCTGATGCTCCTCTTGCAGCTAGGAGTTCACTCAGGGCTTCAGCGGATGGGTGACCAAGGTTTCTGTGAAGCCGTTGGACGATGCGGATTGCATCTTGCCTGGTGTTGGCCTTGAGCTTGATGAGTGAGCTCATGACGCTCTTCTCTTCGTTGGCCGCGTTGGCTGTCTCCCAGTGCAGAGGTGGCTCATCGATGCTCAGTGCTGCTGCCAAAGTGGCAGCCAAGCCGGGCTGGTAGTCTTCCATGTAGCGCGTCCTCACGCCATAGCCCACGCACAGCGAGGTGGCAGTGTTCATGATCACGTTGACACTGCAAGCAGAGTGCTTCTTGAACGGCCTTCTTGGTGGTCAGGAGCCGGGTGTTCTTGAGGACGGGTTTCCAGACATCGTCTGCGTCAAGGCACTGAGCTCCATAGCGGCGTTGAGAGAAGTCGGTGATGCGTCCGGGCAAGTCCCGGAGTGCAGTCGTCTGCCATGACAGTGCTTCCTTGGGCTGTTCGATGGTGGCATGTCTCCCACCATAGACCTGCTTCAGGTAGACTTTCTTCGTGAAGTTGAGGTGCCGATCATGGTGATGATGTCTTGCGGCCATTAGGGCCTCCTTCTGCGCTGGTGTCCGTCGGCCCAAGGACTGCATCTTCGACCATAGCTTGCACTCGGGTGCCAGGAGGATCTCATCACGACAAGGTCGAGGAGCTGCTGTTGGTGTGCAAGAAGCTCGAAGTTCCATCCGGTCTCAAGACTGAACTGTCGAGTTTCCATTCCCAGGGTCTCGGCAATGATCGAAGTTCTGCCCTTGCCACAGTAGATCTCCCAGAGAACACGGGGTCGTGGCGGTCGATGAATTTCCTGGGTGATGAAGGCATTCAGTGATCCAATGTGAGTGACCAGCTGATTGTCCATGGTCTTGAGGTCATACTTCTTCAGATGGCTGAGTCCCGGAACAGAGACGATCTCCTTCTGTCCTTCATAGCTTGCGAAGCCCTTCTCTGCCTTCTTGAAGTCGGGGAGAATGTAGCCATCTGTCTGATGAACATCGGGCTCATTGGTGCGAAGTTCGAAGTCTGGCCTTGAGGGGTTGTAGTCCATCAGGTCGTGCTCTTGAGTGATGGGCCAGAGATACTCGCCTTGTCGGCCAAGTGTGGCCTGTTGCCAAGGGCTGCTGCCAATCCTCAGACGTTTCTGGGCGAAGTCCATGGACATTCCGAGGGCCTCAATGATGGGCCTGCCGCAGAGCATGGGTGTGTTGCCCGGCAGCAGGAAGAGCTCGATCGTTCCGAACTTGCCATCCACGAACACAGGGATGTGAGCGCTCCATTCCGACCAGAGCGATGCATCGCCTCCGAACTGGAAGCGTCGGCGACCCTTCGTCATCTTGATGGCGTCCACGGGGTAGCCGATGTCCTGGTAATGCTCAAGGAGTCGCTGGAAGGGTCCATAACCGGCCAGGAAAGCACTGGCACCAGGATCGAGCATCACGCAGTCTGGACGTTCTCGCCCTTGGTCGTCCTGAAAGATGAGGAGTGCAGTCTCGTCGGAGTGAGCCATGCCTTCGGTTGTCGTTGCTGGGCGCTTCACACTGGAGCGAGCCGTCGGTGAGGTACTGCCTTGAGGACAGTTGGCGGCCCAATGACCTGGTTGTCCACATCGAAGGCATGTGAGATTTGCCTTGGCCCTGCCCTTGGGGTCGAACTTGCCGGCACCTTGAGGAGGGTACCGGATCGTGGTCTTTGACTTTCCAGCTTTTCCTCCTTTCCCCTTTCCTTTGGTTCGCCAAGATGAGGTCGAGGCTGTAGGTGATGTGGTCGGTGATGAGTGCTGCTGTTGACCATCTGTCAATGCGACAATGGGCAAATAGCCACGAGCCATCTTGAGATCCTGGAACCTCTTTCGTGCGTCCGTGTAGGAGGCAAAGGCCTGGTCATAAGCTTCCGCCATGCCTTGCGGATCATAGTTGTCATCATTGGTGTTGTCAGGCCAGGGCTCTTCACCGAAGTAACCTGCATCTTGATCGAATTCTTCTGGGTCCTCATAGGCCAGGTCGGTGACAGGATCCTCAGGCCATTGTTCCTCGGCTTCAAAATAGCCGGTGTCATCCCAGTAGCCTTCGTCGTCGTAGTCATAGTCCTCGGCCGCATAGGCACGCTGGGATCGCCATGAGGAATGGTTGAACCTTCGGTTGCGCTCCACATTCCAGCCACCACCCTTGTAGTCTTGGCCCAAGATGAGGTACATGGCCTCGATGACAGCTTGCTTCTCGAGGCTCGGCGCCTTCAATGTGATCATCTGGCGCTGTTCTCGGGAGAGTGAGGCCCTTCGCAACAGATGCCATCCCTGAACCGAAGAGGGCAGCTCCACCTTGTGTTGTTGTAGTTTCCGGTAGGCCTCCTCATGCTCTGTGACATAGAGCAGCAGCGTCTGTCCACCTGAGCGCTGCAGGAGGTTGAAGTAACCCTCGAAGTCGGTCGGGAGCTGGACTCTGGCATCGTAAGCGAAGTTGGAATCCAGGGTCTTGATGATGCGATCAAATGCACCATCGGCCTCAAGCTCTTCAATGCTCCATTCCTGGAAAAGGCGCCAGGTCACGCCAGTGAACGACCCAACAATGTTGAGCACTGCTTCACTCTGTCTCTTGGTGAGGGCCATCTTTCTCTGGTAAAGGTGGATTCTTTGGCGCCACTCACGGTAGTCAGCGGGTTGACCGCTGAACGTAGGAACATAGTTGTCCCGAAGGTCGGTGAAGGTCGTGCCTTCTCGACTGTCGGAGCCAGTGGCCTGCGTCGTCTTCTTCGATGTCGGTGGCATTGGATCAAAGGGCTCCTCAATGTCTTTCTGGTTGGCAGGGGTGATGAAATAGCCGAGGAGGAGGACCAGAACAAGACAAACACAGGAAGATAGAGCTCTTTGATCCGACCTTGACGTAGGGCTTATCCTGAGCCTTCTCGTCGTTCTCGCGGAGTCCTCGGCAGGGAGCCCGGGGCGACCGGGCTCCGCTACCAATATGAAGATCAGGTAGCTGCGAACGAAGTCAGCAACCAAGTGGAAAAAGTGATCGAACGAGGTCGATCGAACGGGCGGAATGAACCGCCGCACCGCGCGCCCTTTTCCTAACTCGAGCCCGCCCTGTCAGAGCGGTGTTTGTGGTTTGGCGTTTCTTGACGCACAGCGTGTGTCTTCACACCAAAACTTTTTAGAGGAGCTTTCAATGTCTATCGTTCAAGTCCTGTGACTGGTGAGAAAGGGTAGCAGTGCTTCCACCGAACATGAATAGGACCACTCCTTTTGATACTTTGTACAGTAATAGATTTGCTGTCCAGAGACACTTAGGCCGGCCTCCGACACTTCTTACAGGCTTCGTGGATGGGCGCGAAACCTCGCGGTCGCGGATGAAGAGAAATCTTCAACATGGAGACTGTCGCTGACTAAGCGGTAAGGCTTTCTGACTAAGCTGAAACCGCCGCTTCGATTGCAGGTGAGTGGGCAGGCCGCAATGTCCGTGCCATCTCCAGCTGCGGAGACGTCTACCTTTGAGGACAGAGTGCCACACAAAGTGATGTTTGTTGAGTTGCAGAAGCCAAGAGCCAATAAGAGTCCAGTTTGTTTTTCACTTATATTGGACCCTTCCCACATGATCATGATAGGCAGATGGACGGTTTCAAAGGACTCGAAACACTCAACGCTTCCAATTCAGTCTTTGGAAGTGGCAGGAGGAATGGTCCTGCAGCGAAGATGATGCTTCTGCGGATTCGAGTGGGGAGGTCTTTGATGTGAGACGTTCTTGATCTTTTTTGAGAAGATTTTGCTTCAATTTACGAAATTTCTGTCTTACGGCTTTTGGTGGTCTTTTGGGGGCAGTTTGGACACAGTTTGCACCTGCAGATGGGACTGAAAAATCCTGTTGGCAGAACATACCTTGATTTCATTGCCTCGTCAGTCGGTCGCCAGTCAACATGGACCCGCTGAGGTTACCGCTATGCCCGCAGCCCTGAGACCCGCTCAGCCCCGGACCGGGCGGTCCCACGCCATGCGCGCTGGCGGCGGGGGCTGTCGACCTCGCGACAGACGGTCGAAGGCTCGCGACGGACGATGGAGAGGAATCAGGGGGCTCACTGGACCACTCAATCCTGACTAGTAGTACGGCCAGGAGCCCCTAATAGCGTCCGATCGCTCCTAGTAGCGATGCCAGGAGCCCCTAGTAGCGAACATTGTTACTAATGCATCCTGGGCGGCATCCTTCGATGGGCTTTTGGGGTGATCCTGAAGAGTCCTCCGGGAATCAGTCGCTAAAAACTGCTCAAGGGAGCCAAACGGGTGAATCATCACCCCAAATTCCAGCTATCGCAAAGCTGACTGGTGCTGGTAGCAAGGGAAAAAGAAGGTTTTGGGTCACCAGTGTTGGGAACCGACACTGCAGATCGCCTATGAAGTCAATATCCAGCTTGTTGCCTTTTCCAGGTTTGGACGAAGATGCCTTTGGTGCTTGGCCAAGTGTCTCCTCGGACCTGGCATTAGTGAGTGCAAGGAGTGCGCTTGGTGGGAAAGGCTCCTAAAACATTGTATCAACGGCATGGTGTACTTGAAACTTGGCAATGGTCTGAAGACAGGGGCACCTCTCAGAAAATTCTTTGAGCGCGGCCATCACAGAATTCGGTCTCAGCTTTCACCAGTATATAAGGTAGGAGAACTAGTGAAGAACCATCAAAAGAATCAAGCAGCAGCAGTCGCAGCCGCAGCTGGCGATGCCTTTGTGTCCAGCTCTTTCTACCTTCTCCAGGAGTGAGCGGCTTCTCGGGGATGAGAGTGGCTCTGAGGACGAGGAGGACGAGAGCTCCAACAGAGATCGCGACGTGGCCGAATTGCTACGAAGGATGGCGAAGGCCTTGGCAGACTTCTACGGACTTGGCGAGGTGCATGGAAGCTGCACACAGCGTCGGCGAATCGCGTCGCCCTGCGATTCGTGCCCTTTGTTTGGACGAGGGTTCATGTGACGGTGACATGTTTTGCAATTTTCATTTTTGGTTGGTGGTTGACTAATGTTGACTGTTGATTGAAAGTCCCCCCACCCCCCGCCCAATCCAGGAACCTTTCAGATAGTATATACCTATCCTGAGGTACCCAAGTGATGTCCTCTAGATTTCCTTCTATTTTTTAACTTTCTTATACATTCATTTTGATTTTGATCGTTTTGCAGACATTGTTTTAGGAGGTTTTGATTAACATTTTGACATTAAGTTTTCGACACAACAAAACCACTTTGCCGTGACTATCAGTTTGTTTTTTTCACCATTTCAGTGCAACAAAGTGCATACTGAGTCAACACGACATCCTGACAAAATCACCATCCAAAGTTGATAACATGCCTATGGTAGGAGGAGCCAGTGTTCCAGATTGAATTCTTTCATGCTGTTTTGAAATGGATGAGAAATGAGCTGAGCCCTGCTTATTTTCAGTGCAACCTCCCAAAGCTGTTTCCGGAACCCACAGTTACCTTGCAGCCAAGAGTTGGCTGTGACCGATCAGTTTGTGTTTTCGAGTGAACATGTGCAACTCATGCGACTAGATATTGTTTGGATTCTGGAATCATATGTGACTGCCCTGTGTTGCCAGGGAGCCTTGGGTACTAGTAGCTTCTTGTTACTGGTAGTAAGGCCACGACCTACTAGTAGCGTCCTTGCTCCTACTAGCGATGCCCTTTGTTCCTAGTAGCCTTGGGTAGACTTTTCTATTTGGACTAGCCCAAAACGGTCCCCGAGCCACACGGCTGTCTAGGCCAAGCACGCCACTCGGTTGAAGAGCAGCGTGGTGAACGTGGTCATGGTGACCCAGGAAGCCTGGAAGGTCAAAGAGCGACCCAGCCAACTAGATGAGCCACCCATGTTCTGGTTGCGGGGCGGCCGGGTCTATGACTTCCACGGTGACCGTGGCACCGTCTCAGAGTTCGAAAACGACCTGTTGATCCGGGAAGTGGAGGACTGCACGGCACGGAGTCACGGTTTTGCTTTCAATTTTATCCTCACTGGAAGGAAGTAGGAAAAACAGCCATTGGTCAGTCCTTGTATTGCGTGCTTGTTTCTGGGTCCGGCCCTGAGTTTCTTTGCCTTTCGCAAAATCAACCACAGGGCTACCTTCTACCATCTTCTACCTGTTTTGCCCCAATCGATGTTCAGCGGACTGTCTTGGGAACCTGTTGTCCAACAGCTGCAGGATGATGGGATTTGCCGCCAAAGGCGGCAGAAGCAAGGGCTTCTGCCCTTTCCGTTTCTGCCACTTCCCCAGCGAGAGAAAGCTGAGGAGCAAGAGGAAGAAGCAAAGGTTGGCCCAAAAAGATGAGCACACTCAGCCAAATTGGTACAGCCAGGTAGCAAAACCCTTTGAAGATATCATCTGAGTCAACCGTGATTGATTAGCCTGCTGGTTTCTTTGTTGCTTTGCTTACTGCCAGTGGGTATTGGCCAGTGTTGCATTTAACATTCCTTTTGAACCTGTATTTGAGCCCACACACGCCATACAAACTTTAATCATCAGAGATTCCGCGTGAAACGGCCTGGCTACATACCTCAAACATCCTGAAATTGAACTCGAGAGTGCTTGTCTGGCTGACATTTTCTCTGGAAGTGCAGGATGGGAGGGTTCAGTTTGACTGCTCCAAAACAGGTTTAGAAATCGAAGCTGGTCGCACAAATCCATTCGTTTAGGCACTTGCCAGGCGCTGCGTTCGTGCCTTGGACTGCGTCTCCTTCTTTGTTCGGTATCCTCCGTCGTGTCACCTCCATTCTAGTGGGGAAGGCATTTATGTCCAAGCAGGAACAGCGGTGTGCAGCTTGACTGCGGTCGAGAGCCATCCAGGATGTGAAACATGAAACCGTGAAATCAATTTAGTTTAATTCTAATTTGTTTCTAATAGCGAACCTTGTTACTACTAGTAAGGCACTTGTTACTAGAAGCGATGCACTTGTTCCTAGTAGCTTGTTGTTCCTAGTAGCTTGTCGTGCAAGTTCGGCCAAATCTCCCAGAGTTCTCTTTTCTGGTGGCTCAAAATCTGGACCTGCACCACAGTTTTAGCTTCTTGCGTCATATTGCATGTTTAATCATATGTTATTTATTTTTGCTTATATAGTTATTGGGACACTTCCCAGGTCCCCGGGAAGAAGGAATATTACCAAAACCCATTGGTCGGGCTGTAGCAGTGCTCAAGTCGTTTCAGACGGTTGACCCTTGGTAGCACAGCTTGAAATCCTGGGTGGCTGGTTACCTCAAATCCGCTGTCTTTGTTTCTGTCTTGGAGATCTTCCCTCGGCCCATTGGGGCTAGGAATTCGCTAAAGCAGTCCATGCTCTGATGCATTAGGTGGATAGTGTGTTGATTTGATGAATGACCTCATGCAAGTTCAAGCAGCAAGAATATCTCATGTTTAGGGCCTCCATAGCCTAAGAGACCCTCATTCTGATTCTTTCAAACATGTATATATCAGCAATTGATGAGTTTGTGCACGAATGCAAAGATATGGATCCCTGGTTGTAAACATCGGACATGTCTCCCATACCTGTCGGCTGCAACCAGGCATCTTCATCTAAAGGTGGTGATTTGAGAGAGTTCCATAAATTTAAGGAAAAGACCATGCCAAGTCTGCCTGAGACAAAACTTAGCTTTAGAAGGGGAAGCAGTCCGGACGGATGAAGCCACAAAGCAACCCACGACTAATCTCCACGGCTTAGTAGCGTCCTTGCTCCTAGTAGAAAGGCCCTTTGCTACTAGTAGCTTCTTGTTACTAGTAGTAAGGCCAGGAGCTACTACTAGCGTCCGATCGCTCCTAGTTCAATGCTCAGTTGCCTCACGTTTGGTGCGGGTTCAGAGCTTGGAGATGCCGCCGCCAAGATCTGGCTTCTGCTGTGCGAAAGATCGGTCACCACGGCTTGTCTACTGGTTGGTTTGGGAGCTCAAAGCAATATGCTCAGCTTGGCAAGTAGCGTGCTGAATTCTGTGGATGGGGATGAACGGCTTCTTGACCTGGTCACTTTCACTCTTGAAATGTTTGGAGACAGCCACCTTCAAACCCATGCTTGAGATTGATTGTAAGGGTGGTGAGGTAGTGAGGACAGGGTTCAAAGGTGCCAGTGTTTTGGAACATTTTGGAACATATTCACGGATTTGAAGAATCAAGTTGTAGAACTGGTTTGGTTTTGCAATTTGTTTGGTCCATATGTCTCAAGCACCTCGAATTTCGTCCCACACTCTCCACTCAGTGCCTCTGGTGATTTGCTCAAGCCCCCTGCAGTCGCTTATTGTGCAAGATCGGCAGTCGACCAGAGACTGAGGGTCACGGCCAGCCCCATGCATTTGATCTCGATCAGTGTTGCATGGGATGCACCTCGCCAAACTCACTTTTTCAGGTCATGGAGCCATGTAGGACATTTGGCAGACGGATTTGATCAGTTGGGACCAGCCAGGGATGCTGTGAGTATGACACGATGAATTTCTCTGGCATTTGGCGAAGCCAGGCCGCATTTTTTCCCACGCTCCCCATGGCAATGGAGCGACGTTCGCTCGCCATGCTGCCCTTGGGGCTTTTTGCGATCCTCCTTGGGCAGCTGAGCTCGTGGTGAGAATCTCAAAGCTGCAAGACGCATCCCAGCCATCATGCTAACAGGTCTGAGTCGTTTCTCGATGGAAACACACCCAAAAGGTCAAAGCTGTTGGTTGATGCCCCCACAAAAAGGGGGTGGGGTGGAGGCCATCGCTACTAGGGTGGAGGCCATCGCTATTAGATTGGAGGATCGATCTGTGATCTGTGATCACTCGAAGGTGCTTCGCTGGCATTGGGCGATTGCCTTCAAGGTGGGAAGACCTTCGGAAACGACACAACGAAACGACCGCCAGAACAGGGCGAAGCTGCAAGTGGCTCACAGAGGGATTCCTGGGGTAAACCAGGAAACAAATTAATTATACATTTTTGCCCCAAACTTCAGAAACATAGTGATGTTCAGAATATGTCGGGACGAAATAGAGGGGGAATTGTGAAATTTTGAAGGCACAGTGCAAAGGGGTTTCAACTGTTATGTTAATTCAAGATCGGCACAAATCCCAGTGCAGATTACACTGGATTCTGCTGGTGAAACTTGAAAGGCGGCATGAGGTTTGACGGGGCTTTCTCCTTCTGGACATAGCCACTGCAAGCAGGTCGGAGAAGAAGATGACTCAGGATCTGTAAGCCATTGCTTTGGCAACTGCCAGTACTAGTACTTTTCGGAAGAAGACATTTCACACTCCTTCCCTCCCTGGAAGATGTGAAATCCCACGGAGCGTGCGGCGTGGATGCTGGGCGACACGCACCCTCAGGCGTGGGCTGCCGCTGTGTAGCGTAGCCGTCTCGGAGGTCACCACGGAGGTCCGGGGCAAGGCGCGGTGCCCCGGTGGTGCCCCTGCGGTGCCCGGTGCGGAGGCAGTTGCAATTGTCGAGCTTCAGAATAGTCAAGAGGCAAATGTGTGTATTAGGTGAATTGCACCAGGCGATCATTACGAAAGAACCACACCGCTCTCAGCTCTGAGGAAGGGAGCGAAAGCTATCGTCGCTACTTCTTCGCCAAGGACCAGGAGATCTCTCCATGGCATGACTTGCCCTTGAGCTCCGAGGCCACGAGTCAAACATTCCAAAGCGTGGGTGTCTCGATGGAGGCGCAAAGAACTGGAAGACTTGAACGGTTTCTAGAGCAAGTTCGGGTTCTACTCGAACTGATTTGATTTTTCGATCGATTTAGCACCTTTTTCTCGTTTGATTTGTGGGAAAGGCATCAACGTTCAGGTAGCGCCAGACAAACATGTTGATAGCGCTGCGGGTTGGTTTGGAATCCTGTTGAAGAGCTGCAGATAGATGAGAACCGGCTCAATGAAGATGCCCTCTTCTTGCAGATGGCCAGCCCGATGCCCGAACACAGGTCGAGGGCGAGTACTTCATGGTTACTGAGATCCCAAAGAACACAAAGCCCAAGATGGAGATTGCCACCAAGGTCTGTGAGTTGGATTGAGGGATTAGGGTCAGATCATGTGATTGAAGTGGAAGGAGTTGTCACTCAGGACTCCCCACCTTGCTTGGAAGGGGTGAGGAAGATGCTCGATTCTTTGCTTACTGGCCAGCAGGTAATAGAGATTGGTTGTGAGACACTCTTGAAAAAGGGGAGCTTTGTGTTTTGTTGTGCATGCAGGAATCCATGAACCCCATTGCTCAAGACACCAAGATGCTCGGCAAGGATGGAAAGGGGCTGATGTGAATGCAGGCACAGAAAGGCTTGGCAGTTCTGCTTTTTCTAGGACCAGGGTGACCAGAACAAAATATGTGACCGATCTCTGCTTCATGCGCACAAAGACTCCGCCCAGATTATTTCCATTTTCGTTTTCTGAGGAGCAACCAGGGGCATTCTCTTCCACAAAACAATGCATGGCTCCTTGTAGCGCCAAGCAGAGTTGCCGTCTCAACTTATTAAACAGTAGCCGGGCGGGCGCTCAACCACGCAGCTCGCGCCCCAGGAAAGGAAAGCTACGAGAGTATCACGGCGCGGGGCGTCCGCCTTCGAGATGTCGTCGAAGGTCAACAGGATTGTCAGAACTGCATGCAGAATCCAGTGAATCCTCTCCTGGGATGTTCCAGCTCCGCGCAGGAATCCGGGGCACGCCGTCTTTGACCTATTCTGACATTAAATGAACAAGATCCACAGTAGTTGCCTTGTTGAACGTCTGGGACACATGACAACTCTAAGTGGGCCGTTTTTGGCAAGCAGAACTGGCAGTTTTTTTGGATGAACCTGACGCTGGGCGAAGGTGCTGAACTGCACGCGATACCACGCTGATACCCATGCTGTCGGAGTGTTTGTAGTGGTCATGGAAGTCGAAGTCCACCAAGGAGTGTGTCATACGAACATGCATGGAGCTCAAGCGTGCCCTCCGCTTGCAGAGAACCGGAGGGTTTCGGTGTGTGGACGGGGCTGAACGTCCTGGATCGCCCTTTTTTTGGGGCAAAAGGACCCAATCAACGGGAGAAGTCGATTGGCAAGCTGAACGTCGATCCTCAGCTTCCAATCCTGCCAGGAAGAGCGGCCGCTCCGGAATTGAAAGGTCCAGATGAAACATATGTTGTTGAAAGGGGGACCTTTTTGTGCAGCGTGTTTTGTTGAACGACAATTCCCATGCTAAAAGAGACTGTTGAAGATGAACGAAGTGCTGCTAATTTTCCAGTGGCTGGGCATGTTTGACCTGTATACTAAACTTCCGTCCAGGCCCCATCTATTGGAACTATGGCTACCTACCCCAGACCTGGGAGGCGAGGGCCGGCGTCCGCCGACTTCTCTGGATCAGATCATTCTGGTGCTGTCAGAGAATCTGAAGTTGTTTTGCACTTCAACCATTATATATTTCTTCAGGGCTTTGACGGCTGGAAGTCACGCCAATTCTGTTGCTTCAAGCATGAGCTGGGTGGGCCGTCCGATGACCTGCTAACTAACTTTACTACTTTGGGTCTTTCTGTCTACAGCTTACCTCACTCTGACAAGTAGATGAACAGAGCACGGAGAACTTGGTTTGAAACAGCTTAGGCCTTAGGCTCAGCAGTGGAATAGGTGAATCAGTCGTTGAGAGCGACGAGCTGCAGATCTCCAGGATCCCCAAGCAGAACATCCTGAGCTCAAGGTCAAGGGTGACAATGATCCGGTAGATGTGGTGGCTTGGCTGAGCAGATCAGCTCATCAAGCGGAATCATCGTTTCAGCGGATCCAAAGAACTTTTTTGCATCAAGGGAATCCTTGTTTGAGAATCAAGGCGATCCATGCTTTTGTCCAAGCATTTGCAGAACTGGCTGAAGCTGCTTGCAGACGGATGATATAGACTTTGATGCTCTGAATGTGGGTTTGTATCTATACAGATAACCTCTATTTTTCATACAAATGCATTAATAATTACCCTATCATCGCCTTTTAGGTGGAGATCGGCTCTCGAGCGCATGAGCAAGGTGAGATTGTCAAGGTGAAGGCGGGAAGCAGAGCCTTCGGGCCCCGCTGGACGGAACACCTTCCACCACGTCTGTGGTCTCCTCCAATGAAATCGGCTCGTCTTTCGGTCACCGGTTTTCGTCCTCCATTTGGGTCTAACAAAGCGGAAGCAGAAGGTTTGAAGGTTTACTTAGGTGTACCAACTTGTTGGGGGCCTGGCCGTATCTTCGGAAGCAAGGGGTTGGGCTTCTTGCCTGGGCATGATTTCCCTTGCTAACTGTTGCTTGAAATGCCTGGAGTCTACAAGCCCTGGAGTCTGCAAGTGGGTCATGCTACAGGTGCTCGGGGCCCTGGCCATGATCGATGATGGCGAGCTGGTCGGGGCAGTGGGTGGAATACGGTGGAGGTTGTAAGTAAGGGAAAGGACATCTGTAATATATATATATTATTGTATTCTATTATATTGTGTTATTTTACATTATATGATGTTATATGTTATTACAATATATTATATGATACTATACTATATTATATATACTATATATTGTATATATTATAGAGGCGGGCAATCGACTGATAGATGAGGGCTCTTGCCTCCTGCCTTCAGAACTGCAAGAACCAATCAAAAAGTTCTGTCTGCCAATGGCCCACCAGGTGCTGCGCGAGATCACAACATAGCACAACTATGTTGAATAGGATGAGTCCTCAGCACTGAGGGGGCATCCTCGCAGGACTGGAAGATCCTAGCCATCGCGACCGATGACCCCATGGCCGCCGAGCTGCAGCTCGGCAGCATGGCAAGAGCAATGGTTCCAGGAGGCCCAAGCGGAAGGTCGGGGTCCATATTTCTGTGAGTTTCTTTCCCCCGGGTCTACAGGACCTGACATGCTGAGCCGACCGGACAGCCTACTGATCAAATGTTCTTCTCAAGACCCCTGCCATGAACCATTCCCGCAACAACAGTTAGTTCTTTGAGGGCGATCTAGTTCACCGAATCAGCTTGAACCGGCTTAAGAACTTCAAAAACGAGGACTGCCCGCCCAGGTCTTCCTTGAAGGATGTGGAAACCAAGCTACCGGGGTATATCTCCGGGATCCGCGAGTGGTTCCGTTGGTGCGGGACACCCAGTCGTTGCGTTGTTCGGTGTTCGTGCGGTGAGAAATCCGGATGATAGGAGGGGTTTGGTTGGGAGTGGTAGATGTAAAGATATGTAAAGTTGTATTGTGCAATGTTGTTTGTGCTCACGGCGCGTTATCGACTGTGAACTTTTAGCATGGTTTTCACTGTTTTTACTCTTCATCCGATAGATTCGATATTGCTGCATCATGCCTGGTGGTGACGTTTGTTGTCGGTGACAACGACACAATGTTGCTTCGGGGAAGTTGCTGGTGGGTGAGTAGGGTGCTGGGCCAAGTGGTGACATTTGTTGTGGGTGCTGCCGGAAGTATAGATGTTGTATGATGTTGTTAATAGCTCGCAAGCTGGTTAGTTCTCAAGAAATTATGCTATGACTGCATTGGAGACTCCTAAGGCGTGAGCTGGACCTACATAAGTCTACAAAGCCTTGCCTGCTTGTCAACTCATAACAACTGCTTTCCACACTGCCATCATACAAGAAAACGCGGTGCCGCACTTGGGGCAAACACTAAAACTCTTTCACCTCCACAGCTTCTCATTCTACACTCATGCTGCTGGGTTACGCACTTAATAAGCAAGTATTAGATTCTGGAGCTTGTGCCTGCCCATCATTTTTCCATGAAGGTTACAAGTGTTTTTACATCCTTGAAATATTGTGAAACTTGGCCAGTGTGGCCAGGAACTGGCATACTTTTAACCTGCCCATATACACGTGCTGGCCCGGGACTGGGCTTGAGAGTGCCCACGCATGTTGTGAAGGGGTGGAGCCAAGTGGCGATGTTTCTTGTGAGTGCCGTCAACCTAATGTTGTTTGCTTCGGGTTGTGAATGGTGGGTGCGTGGGTGGATGGGCCAAGTGGTAAAGTTTGTGAGTGCCAACAACATTATGTCGTGTCGAAGTTGTTTCGGGTTGTGAATGCCGCGGGTGGGGGCCAAATGGTGGCGTTCGTTATTTGCGGGTTGGAGGGGTGGGGGTTATATAGATTAGGACTAGGACTTGATTTTTTGGGACACCCACAACAATCCACTAGGTTCCCCTAGCTTGATGGTGACATATGCATTTGCTTCCATGCGCTTTCAGCCGTTTGACATATGAATCTCGGCTTAACTAAAACACTCACTGTTTCCACAAAGTATCGTGAATTGACTTTGCAAGCTCGATGAATCTCATTGGGTGCTTGTAGGGCAATTCAGCACGAACTTCGTTGGTGGAAGGGGACTCATCGTTCACCGCACGGAAGAAATCATCACCCAAACCTCCGTAAAATACGCCTGTTTTTTTTCCAGCCTCTCCAAACAAAACGCTCTAAACGCGTGGTTTCGTAACCAACTTTGACCAACACATCAAAAGCTCCACCGTCGCTGATGCCGTCGTGACCTTGTTAGTGCTTGGTTGGTACAGGTCACGGTTCTGTTGCTTTCTGGAGCCTGAGCTCCTACTATGGTTAACAGGAGTCTGTGGCAGGTTAGGCACAACTTATCCAACCTTGGACTGTCCACGGCATGAGAGATGCTTGAACATTTTGACTTGATACCAACTTATTCTGAGTGTGAATTGCACGAAAACGGTGTGATATGTTTGTTTTGGTGGTGTTTGCAAAGGAGCAGTTTGAACAACTCTTTGCATCTACATAGTGTTTTCTGCCCAAAAGTTCACTATACGAACCATCAATCATTATTAGCATGGTATACAGTCAATTGGGATGAACACGTGGGAATTGAAACCAGACTGAAACAATGCAGTACAAGACCTTGTGCTTCGCCACAGATTCACAATGACAAGGACCCTTTCCATTGTCAGAATTGAGACCATTCTCCTGCCGACTTGAGCCCAACTAGAACGTTTCGTCATTTGTTACAAAGGCTTTGTAGTACTTGGTTGGGGCTAGACGTTTCACTCTTATTTGGTTCCACCAGAGAGCCCTGCACACCAAGAGAGAGGTACAAGTTGCCCGATGGGAAGCCGCTCAACAGCTTCGGATTCGGCGAGCAGCCGCTGGATGCTCCAGAGGCCATCAAGGCAGGAGCGAAGCCAAACAAAGTATCGGGGACCTCACCACTCCTAAGACGCATGGACACTGACTGAGGATAGGGTGTGTGCGCGTGTATCAGGTCTGTATGTGAGCGCACGCACGTGCGCGTGTGTATAATGATTGATCAAGAGCTTGGTATTGAAGTAGACCAAACAATACCCTGAGCGGCTGTAAAGGCGTTTGCTTGGTTGGTTTGCTCCAGGAACCAAAGCCATAGACCAATAGATCCTCTGCCAGGGTTGAGGGCCTGAAACTTGTTCATGGGATGACCAATGAGGGTCCCACAGTTCGACACTTCTCGGAGGTGATTGAGGAGACGCATGGCTTCTGGAAGAAGTTGCGAGAGAAGGGCGACAGCAACCTGTGGGTGGGCTGAGGCTTTCGAGAGTATATACTTGAATTTTGCAGTGGATAAGGAGTCCAGGTAGTTCTTAAAGGAACAGCATTTCCAAGTCTTGCGAACGGAATCTGTGGAAGAGGAGGTCGATTAGTGGATTCATGTGGAGGTGTTCAGCCAGACATCTTGTTTGTCCAAGGTGCCACCAGGAGCTCCAAAAAGTCAGACAAAGGGTTTGGGGGTCAAAGAGACTCCCACCATGGTGGGTGGAGGTTCCCATTTCTTCCGTGAACCATTCTTTGGGTTTTTAATTTGAAGACGTTCACCAGCCACTTGACAGATCCCCGAAGAAGGCTAGTGGCTGCTTAACCTTTTGAAGTTGTTTTGCGTAGCTTATAGAGACATCTTTGGAATGCAAGATGAAATATAGCGTGACTATCTATGGAACAGGACTTTGGGAAGGTGTTGGCCAATAGCTCGCATGGAGTGCCACCGTCAATCCCACTTCCCATCTCTTTCGATTGGGCCTCTTCTGTGCCTATCCCGTCTTTCGTGACCTCTCCGCTGCGCCCGCGCCTGGCTGCGGCTTTCGACCGGGGCGCTGCCAAGTTGCCAGTCGTGTCCGGTCGTTGGCGGAGAGCGAGTGCGCAGCTCTCAAATCGTTGGGTCTTGGACCCTTGGATCCACTCTGAGTACCCTGGGCATCCAACTGGGCACCTGTTTTGGTCTTGACTGGTTCTCCTTTTCCGTTTAGGTTGTCACTCCACCAGAGGAGTTGTAGGCAAGAAACTGGAGCTAGTCGACTTCAGCAGAACCTTCACCGAACTTCGAACTCACCCCCAAACAGAGCATACATACTCCGATTGAGTGTGAGTGATCCTGCAGAAAGGCCTTCTTCAGACGAAGGGCCAGATCAAAGTCTAACGAATCAGCCGGGTTTATCGCACCAAATCAGCCATAAATAGTCAAGCCTCAAACTCAAACTACTACATGATTCCACTCTGCCATCGGTCAGGCTAGCTCTGGTAGAGAAGTGCATTTCTTTGATGTTCGTTGGTAGATCATGCTTGATATTTGAGAGCTTGCTGCCGGCATCATTGCGCGACACAGTCGGCTTCTTTCACCTGTTATTGGTCCCAAGAGGGCCTCGACCCGCATGAGATTCGAGTCACGCGCGTCGAAGAACACCTAGGATGATTAACCATTGGGAAGGGCAAGATTGCTGCATTTGGGTTGGGGAAGCCCACCTGGTTTGGTGACTCTGGTTCGATGCTTGAGGTGAGACGTGGGTCAAAGGGCAAAGGGGTGTATCATGCTGGCGTGAAATCCGGGGTGACCCTGTAATGGTTGCTCAATGTCACCCCAGACGTGCTTACTTCGGCCACAAGTTTCAGAGGTCAAAGGTCTCCATGGCCAATAAATTACTGTACATCATTTAATGTCAAATCGGGGAAGGATTCAATTCACACCGTGGCAGGGTAGACAGGCTGAAGCATGAAGCATGTTTGCTGTCATCTCGGTTCAACAGTCTACAGTTTGGTCAGAAGTTGAGCTACGTCATGTGAAGAGCTCCATCCCCTTCGTTCGAAACAAGCAGATCCGCAGCAAACAGATCACGTCCAAGCCAGGGAGCCAAACGTACGACGGGTCACCTCTCCACACCTGAGACCTGAGACCGAGAAGTCCCGAGACCTGGAGACCTGGACCCACAAAGAAACAAAGAGGACAACAGGTCTTCAAAAACTACACAAAAAATGAGGTCTAAGATAAAAATCCTTAAGACCTGCCTAATCTGATCCCGACTCTGCCAACCCACTTTGAGCGATGTCTCCCCAGCTGGTGAGTTCTTCAAAGCCCTGTTCATTCGAGCGTTCATCGTCAAGTGTCCTGCACGAACCCTTTGAGCGTCAACCAAACTACGACAACAAGAGGACAGAGCTTCTGCTTGCTGCTTGCCGCAATGGCGATGGAAGTCATCACACCAGAAGGTGCTTCGGAGATTTCAGTGCTCCGGTGGGTTTGTGCTGGCTTGAAGGTGAAGACGTTGATTGCAGCGAGCCTTGTCAGATTGGCATTTCAGAATATCATATGAATTCTTGCAAGGATTCTGGTGACTAAAGAACCAAAGAGCGACCAATACAACTGGCACTGACTTCTTGCAGACATACATGTAGGTCTATTAGGTCTATCATGTAGTCCTGTCCTGGGCCTACCATATCCGAAGCAACACTATGGCATCGAGGTTTTGCAGCCTTTCTTCCTTGAAAATCATGTCCTAGACCCATAAAGGAGTAGTGTCTTCAGGATCTCAGAGGGCTCTTTACCCAGTCCAATCCCGACCTCGGTACGACGCTGGCTCCATAGTGAGCATGCCAGGCTTTCGCTTTGATGGCCGCCGGGTGAACGAGCCCCGGGGGATCCAGTGCTGTGTGGGAGGCGGGTGGGTAGTCGTTGTTCGAGCAGCTGAACTCCCAAGGATCAAAGAGACCCCGAGAACTGGGCGATTCCCTATGGAATCGTTTACTAGTAGCTTATTGTTTCTAATAGCAAACATTGTTACTACTAGTAAGGCACCTGTTACTACTAGCGTGGCACTTGTTACTAGTTCGATTCCGTGTTGACCAATCTTCTCGGGGGGGGAAAGGTCGAACAGTGTTGGCCCAGGCACCACGATTCGATCGCGTGAGCTCATCCAAAGGACCTATGTCACAATATGCTACTAGCTTCTTGTTCCTAGTAGTAATGCCAGGAGCTACTAGCTTAGCTTCTAGCTGCAAGTAGTAATGCTCCCTTTGTTACTAGTAGCTTCTTGTTCCTATGCTAGTCTTCCAAAGCTTTGCACCGTTGCCCAGAGTGGTGTGCCCTGCCACATCGCGAGGCTGTGGCCGCGAGGCGGATGGCTACGCTGTTTTCGAGCTGGGTAGTACCAAGGCAGCGCGGGTCGAAGGGAAGTCAGGAGCGAACAGGGCATATGTGGAAGTTTCTCAAGAAAGATAAGAAAGGGTCAGCCTAGGCGCCGGTTTTTGGTATACTGTAAGGGTTCGCAAGAAAGAAGCAACATATACTAAATCAGGGTCGTGCATTCCTGATGCATGATTGATAATATGGATCTCCCGGAACTCTGTTCTATATGTGACAGGGCAAGAGAGTGGGAAGAGAGTTGTAGAGTCGTTCGTTGTTGATTGCACCCCGCATGTTCGTGCTACTAGCAGTAGCTATTGTAGCAGTAGCTCGTGCAGTAGCTACTAGCTTTCTGAAGTTCTTGGCATCCCAAGAGGGCCTAAGAGGGGCAAGCGTGGAGTCAACACGAGTTTTGCTGTTTTAGACGCTACTAGGGGCTCGTGGCCTTACTATATACTAGGAACAAGAAGCTACTAGGGGCTCCTGGCCGTACTACTACTAGCAGCAAGGACGCTACGAACGTAGCTCCTGGCCTTACTTAGACATCCTCCTTGTCTGGTCCACTCGAAACGACACCGGAGGCTGTGGCTTATGTCTATGGCCCCATGGAGGAGGGCCTGATGGGGCCATCAGGGCGGGACCGACGCCGGTGACCAGTCGGTTTCTGTTTTGACGCCGAATGGGGAGGTCCTTGTTGGAAAGTCAGATGCACAGAGGCTTTTCTCGAGGCTTTTCGGTGATAGATTTGTTGGAGATGTCCAGAGAGGGGCAACCTTTGTTATACTGTAGGTTTTCTGGCAAAAGGTACCTCAGGTCTCAAAGGTTGGTTTGCCTGATTTTCTTCCTTTGGTACCCCTGCTTCCAGCGGTTCATCAGTCGACCTCCCTCTCGTTGGGATGTCATGACCAGTTACCTGTTCGTTTGAGTTTCGTTTGAGTTTTGAAGTGGTGGAGATCCCCGTCCACAACCTCATTGAAGTTTTGAGAGAGTGAGATGATCATAACCTTGAGGATGGACATGGGACACAAGCCCCAAACCTACATGGTATTTTACCAGTCTCGTGTACATGTGGGGAGGAGTGACTCTTCCGATATGCACATCGTATCATAGTTTTCAGAAGTATAAGCTGTAACTATGATACTATGATAGCACTATACCGTTATGTTATATAGCTATTTCCCCAATAGCCATGCTATGGGGTCTTGCAAAACTAATAGGCGGACGGGCGCCGTCGGGTCACCGTCAGAGCTGGTGGGCGGATGGTGTCCCGGTCATGTTTTGATGGCGTCCGGGTCATGTGATGCTGGTGTCCCGGTCATGTTTTGATGGTGTCCCGATCATGTTTTGATTGTGACCCAATCATGTTGTGATGGTGTCCCGGTCCTGTTTTGATGGTGTCCCGGTCATGTTTTGATGGTGTCCCGGTC